ACTCGGCTCGTTGAACAAACGACGTCGTTTGGTTTAATTTTTTTTTTAAAGAAAAAAAGTGAACCGGCGGTTCAAACCGGTTTTGTCGGTTTCAGCCGGTTCACCCCGGTTTTGCCGGTTTTCAGCCGGTTCACCCCGATTTTCCCGGTTTTCAGTCGGTTCTTCCGATTTTTTACCGGTTCTGTGCTAATCCGGTTTTGGGAGTTAACCGGACCGGACAGGCCACCGGTTCACGGTTCAACCGGTCCGGTTTTAATAACATTGGTATGAATGTTGGGAGAGTGTTTTGAGATACACCAGATTTTGATATATATATCGGGTTTTTGGATACATTAGATATTATATATTTGTACTCTTCATAATATTTACATTTATAGTGAATTATTATTCTTCTCATCCGTGAAGGTATATAAAGTTGAACCACGTTAAATCTCAACTCATGTGCATGTCTTATTCTATGTTGATGTCGCTTTAGTTATTTTTTTTGCTTATGAATTTCTAACATAATGCTATATGACATAGACTTCATATATGGTACTTTAGAGGAGTAGGCTAGCCAAGTGTACATTCCTGATACATGTGTGACCCAGGTCTTATCCGACTTACTTGGCAATTATGGGTCAACGAATGTACGTTCTTGATGCATGTATGACATAAGCCACATCCAAAGTATCAATGTTAGTAGACTAGAGGGATGTGAGTTACCGAGATTATGTGACGTTGAGCTACATCATGATGTCTGCTTGTGTGTTATGGATTGTGTTGTATTGATGACATTACTTCTTTGATTATATTTGTCAGCATACTTATGTTATGAATGCATGCAGTACAGTGGAGTTATTTGTTTGACATTGAGCTCATTAACTCAGCGTGAGGATTGTGTTTCTATTCACAGGTTCTTAGGTGGAGATTAAGAAGCATCGTCCCAAGTCAGAGTTCTAGTCAAGATTCTCTTCAGAGTACATCTTGATTTATTTGTAGAAGATAGTATATTCATTTATCTTATGTCATATTTTAGTCATAACTCTATTTTATTAAACTTATTATGAATATTAAGTTTGTACTATTTAGAGCTTCATATTTTGTAAACTAAACTTATAGTTAATATATCGATATTGAGATTATCTATGTATGCTTTAAGTAAATAATTTCAAAAAATAATTAGTTACTTTGGGATTTCTTATGACACTTAAATCATCTGAATTCAAGTCATATCGAATTAGGGTGTTACAATACTTCAAACTTCTGCAAACCTTCACCTCTCATGCTCACACAAACTATTCGAGTTCCATGAGATAAAATGAAGGGGATAGTTTGGGTAGTTGCCAATGAAGCTAGTAGCATTTTGTGATTAATCAATTTGGACCTTAAAATGTCTCATAATAGTTGTGGAAGAAACTTCTATTCCTGCACTGATGTAAACTTGATACTTGAATCTATGCTGTAAAATTGTTATTTCAGCACTTTTTCTGCAAATCAAACTGTTTTTCTTTTTTTTGTGAAATTCCATCATGTCATTAGACTGTTATGAGTAACCAGGCACGATCTCAGTGCATGCATTGTCATTTATCAGATATTTTAATCCAAATTCGCCAACCAAGATTGTTCACTTTATCGCTTCATATAGCATACCTTGAAAACACCATACAACATTTATGTCCTTTTCTCCAAAAATTGAGGATGTTCAGTTACACAAAACTAGCATCGGTTTTATCGGAGTTGTGGTAATCTATATACATCAAATGATGTTATATCTACTGGGAATCATATGACAATTTATCACATTCCACAAAAATTTTAATTGAAAGATGTAACTCAGCAAGCAAATGGAGAAAAAGATGAACAAACCGAACAAAGTCGAAATTGGCTTTCCCTTACTTTTCAACTAAGCCTTTGGACAGCACTCATAAAACAGAAAAGAAAGCATAAAAAACAAAAGTAAAACTGTCTACCATTAAGGGTACTCCAAAAAGCCCATCCACCAAGTGAACCTTTTATTTTGAGGTTAGGCCCCCTTTTTATTATTTTTTTCTTTTCCCTTCGGATTTCGTAGCTATCCAAAGACAAAAAAGATCTCTCCCTTTCCTACTTTCTATAATATGGGGGGAAAGACCTTGTCAAGAACCAAATTTGAAAACATTACATTCAACTTGGTTATCTATCACAAAAGGCTATATTCACCATGAACCTTTTTCTCAGGCTATGTTCATGGTATCTTTTGGCATAAATCACCGTGAACCTTTTTCTCAGGCTTCAAAATTGACTGAATGTGAATCCAGAAACAACTTGGAGCCATACAAGTTGAGGTGTTTAGGGAGATAAGGTTGGCAAAAACATGGGGTAGAAGCGACCATCTTCTCATGTGTTCCTGTTTTGGATATGCACTGATGACTCGTATGTACATCCTATTCTCTTTTTTTTTTTTTGGGGGGGGGGGGATTGTCAAAATGTCCATACATCAATGATGAGTAGATGAATTCTCTCTGAAAATTTTGCACCAGTCAGCGACAGCAATCAATGTGTCCAGTGTTCATTAATCTGGAATCTATTATTTATCGGGGTTTTCAGTTTGAAAAATAATTGGAGTTGTGCAACACTCTAATTAGATCTTTATAAATGTAACTGAGTTGCTGCGGATAGATCATTGATGGGGCCATCTTTGGCATCACAGCAGACAGACTTTCTTTTCTGATATGCTTTTGTTTCCCCTGTGTACAGAGCAAATTTTGGTTCTTTTTCAAACAAAAATTCCAACTTTTTATGAGAGGAGTGCCCCAGTTCTCACATGCTCACAACTCATCATTTTCTTCTTGTACGGTAGGTTTGCTTGAACATCCATGAAAACCCCAACTCACACGTGTTGTTGTCGTCAATGAAATAATTCCTTTGTCCCCACTGTTTTTTTCATGGTTTTCCATTGATGATCGTTATGGTTTTTTGTTTTAAACAAAATTCTTTTCGGTATCAATATTCAATACTATTAATCGAAAACACGTATAAAGATTAGATCTAAATCTTCCCACTTGTGCTTTGCAAGTCACAGCTTTGTGTGTTAAGAAAGAATCAGTTGTTCTTCGCCACAAGAAGTCAGCTAATGGATCCTTAAATTTGTTTACCAATGGAAAAAAGAGATTCATCAAGTATGAAATTGTTGTGGCGGATTTAAGCTCTGAAATTGATGATAATCTCCATTAATTCTCCAGGTCCCATCAACTTTTATCAGAGCCTAGCTTTTACCTCCACTTTAACTCAATTACAGTACAGTGTCATGATTTTGTTCTGGTGGCCCTATTCGGTACTACTAACACTATCAACCAATTTAGGCTTCAAAACTTTACTCCAAAAAATGAAAATTGTTGTACTGGTAAGCCCGGTCACGAACTCAATTAGTGTTTTCTCTCTAAATGATTTTCTCTGAACTTATACCACTAATATTCGTCTTCTTCATCTCTTCAACTACTTGTAATAATCTCTATCCAAATTAAAAAAGATAAATTACTAAAGCCAACGGGTAGCTTTTACGTATTTCCTCTTAAACCCCGTTCTTCTCTCAAATTACGTGTCAGCAGCAACTTATATGACAAAGTAGATTTGCAGTGAATTAAATGTAAAAGAACTGAAACCCAAATCTTCTGGAATCTGCAGTATCTCCAACTAACGGTTAACCCATACGATTGATGACTTCATGAAGTGGCCAAGAAACACGCTGAAATATTATATTTATGTTGTAAAATATGTGTATATAATCAAATTTAGATTTTTAAAATAGTTGCAATAGAAAGATATATATATATATATATATATATCAATTGAAGATGGCATTTCAACAATGATATACGCAAAAACACAGAAAATAAAGTGTTAAATTGCAACACTCGATTCACCTTTAATGCCTAAACATTACTTCTTGATACAACTTATAAACGATATCTAAAGTTAATTATGGGGTTGTGGTTCTTCCTTTGAAACCCATGCAAGTACCAAGTTTTCACATGTAGATATGATTTTAGTTTCGATATATTAGCAATTGTTTTTCAAAATTTATAACTCTGTATAATTTTTTTGGTTCATAACAGTTTTACTTAATTTTTAACTTATATAATTTCACCTTATAATAGAAATCTGGGAAAGGATAAGTTTTCAAAACAAATTTTCAGTAACCTTTTTAATGGTTGAATAGTCTTTTTATTATAAAGTTTTAAATGTGTTATTTTCAAAAATATTCTATTAATGTTTTATATGAATTTCGTAAAATAAAATTGTTTTCGTTATTATAAAAATGAAAATAATAAGAAAAAAAATATAATCTTTTCACTGATTTAGACACCATTTCTGTGTTTTTCCGAGTTCAGTCTATAACGGCGACGTATGGCACCGACCCAATTAGTGACGGCCATGATACGCTGATGCCAATAAAATCTTCCATGCCCATTAAATAAACAGCGCCAAGCCGTAATGAGATGAGATGAGCCGAGCCGTACCATCGCTTTCCAAATACATTTCATTTGGAATGAATTTTGTGTTGCATTTAGCCAACCTTGAGTTGTGTTGTGTGTACCTAACCCCAGTCAAATTCTAACCCATCTTTAGTTTTATTTAAAGTGATGGAAACTTGTTTCAACCAGCTGAGTTCTGATTTCTCAAACTCAAACGCAAACCTCCCTTCCCATTCTTCTCTATCTTCATAAACAGTCTTACACTCTTGTAAGTTTGATTTCAGTAATTATGTAAAGCAAAAGGGAAAAAAACATATTCTTTGAAAGCTTGGGTGTGTTTTGGATGGGAACCGAGAGAAGTGAAGAAACTGTGTTGCAGAAAGACGAGGAATATAATGGTTGGGGAATCGAGAGAGAGTATTGCTTGTTGTATAGTTGTAAACTACTACAACCTTATACAAGTTGGTCTTGTTTTAGACAAGGGTCTTACTGTTCTTCCATGTCTGTCTAACACCATATCTTTGAGTCCTTGAATAAACTTCTTAAAGATCTGACCAAAACAATTCACTCCCATAACACCCTTTTTTTTTAAAACAAGAAGAAGAGACCTGTTGGAAATTTGCTTGTGTTCTTCAGACCATGAAGAGATCACTTGGCAGCTCAGATTCTTTGGGTGCTTTGGTGTCCATCTGTCCAACTACAGGTCCAATAAAACGATTACAGTTTTGTACTTTGATTTAGACATGAAACCGAGTTTTAATTATGTGGTTTGCTTTGTTTTGGTGCAGATGAGCATAGTCCAAGAAACAACCATTTATACAGCGGGGAGTTTCAGTCGATGTTGGAGGGATTAGATGAAGAAGGGTGCCTTGAAGAATTGGGGCATGTTTCTGAGAAGAAGAGGAGATTAAGTGTAGATCAAGTTAAGGCGTTGGAGAAGAATTTCGAGGTCGAAAACAAGCTCGACCCCGACAGGAAAGTGAAACTAGCTCAAGAACTGGGGTTGCAACCCAGACAAGTTGCTGTCTGGTTCCAAAACCGCCGTGCTAGGTGGAAGACCAAGCAATTGGAAAGGGACTACGGTCTTCTCAAAACCAGTTATGATACTCTTAAGGCCAATTATGAAGCTCTGCAGCTTGAGAATGAAGCTCTTCTCAAGGAGGTAATAATAATAAGATTTTACTCGTCTTGTATATGAGCATATGGGATTATTAGAATTGTGTTAAAACTTAAATATTTGTGCAGATAAGAGAGTTGCAGGCAAAGCAGAGTGGGGAGAGCACTGAAAGCAATGTTTCCGTGAAAGAGGAGGCGATTGTGCACGAAGTTGCTGATGACAAAACACTGGAAAAAAGTGAACCGTCTGAGCCAGCAGATCTCAACTATGAGAGCTTCAACCACAGCAAAGGATCAGTCGGCGCCACCCTTTTCCCGGACAAAGACGGGTCATCGGACAGTGACTCGAGTGCTATCTTGAATGAAGACATCATCAACAACAACGCGGTTATTTCTTCGTTGTTGATATCAACATCTTCTTCACCGTCCTCCATGGATTGCTTCAATTTCTCCAAAACAACATATCAACCCCACCAGTATGTGAAGATGGAAGAACACAATTTCTTCACTGCAGATGACGAAGCTTGCAACTTCTTTTCGGATGAGCAAGCTCCGAGTCTTCATTGGTATTGTCCTGAACAGTGGAGCTAAAGGCAAACAAAAAAAATCATGATGTATGTAGTTATGGGACCATACCAAATTCAAGGAAATAAGGCAAACATGGGTTATTATGAAGATCCGAGAATTTTGTAAGATGGGAATCATGTAAGAAGTTAAACTACTACCAAGATCACGATATCCGGTAAAAAAACGGAATTTGGAGAAGAAGATCAAAAGGGTTCACGTGGGATGGGAAAAGGTGACAAACACCAAAGTGGGGGTGCGTGCGGGAATGATTAGATCGTAATTTGAAGCTTTTAAATTGTTCTCTTGTGCTGTAAATGGAAAATTCTCCGTAATCCATTGGTGGAAAGCGAAACTTCCTTGAATGGAGAGAGCTGAACAAGATAATAGTAATAAACATTAATCATATACTTCTGGTTATTGTTTCCATGTGTAAAACCCAGATCTCAAGAATTAAAGTTTAATCCAATCATAATCAAGACATGATTTTCACCTGATAATCAATGTGAATAAAGAAAACAAATCATATTACTGGGAAGTAGTAGTTTAAAGTGAATGGTTTTGCCCAAAATTCTAATACTGGAGAATATTTGTTTTCCATGAAAAGGAGTGGTTGTTTTGCAAAGTTCCAGCTAGGTTGATTTAACTGTAGATAATTTCTCTTTTATTTGCTTTTTCTATAAGAAAAAATAGAACAATTTAACCAACAATGGCACAATCATAAAAAATCAAAGCAATTCAAAAACACAGAAAAATTTCTTGAAAAATATTTTTGGGTTTATAATTAGATTTGATTATATTATTATTTTTTAATTAGGTTACTGTTCAGTTAATCAATGACATCAAATTTAATCAAGACTTTAATATTTATGTGATAAAAATATTTAGGTTAGTTAATTTTAATTTTTTAATATTTCAAAAATATGAAGATTTTTAAAGTGTAAAATTTTGTATACTGTTTGTTTGGAAGATAAAAATATTTCCAATTATTTGGCTATTGTTGTAAATATATATTTTTCAAATAATACTAACAAATTTTAAAATTTATACTAATTGCTAAATTTAATACTATCATGTTATTTTACAACAACATGATGTTTCATGTGGAAATTTCAAGGCCCCAAATTTGTAAAACGAAAACAAACAATAAATATAGAAACCATGGATCAAGAGAATAAGGGTAAGGTACACCTCAAGTTATCTTCAATAAATAAATATGTAGCTAATTAATTATTGTATTTAATTATACCATGAAAATTCAATGATTAAAATCATAAAAAAACCAATAACTAATGGTTTTTTTACCAAAAGAAGAATTACAAATTTATAGAACATTGAATGGGGGGATTTGGTAGACTGTGGTTTGTCTTGTTCCAAAGGTAAGGGGAATGCAAAGCCCGCAAAATTAAATAATGATATTTTATAGGCTTTATATATAAAAAATCCAAATTATACATTTTTTTTCATTTAGGTACTTAAATTTGTTTCGATCAAAATAGGTGTTTAACGTTACAAATGTTATTATTTTAAGCGTTTATGTCGTAACAATCGTTAAAAATCAGTCAACCAATCAGTATTTGAATATTCTAGACCATGTTATTGAATTGATGCAGTTTGATTGAATCGTGAAGCTACAACATGTGGCTCGGGATGAAAATAATGTAGCGGATTGTATGGCTAAGCTATAGCCATTGCAGGTGACTCGGATTTGCTCAAGTTTGAAGCTCCCTCTGACGTGTTGTCGTTGTTGCAAATCGATGTTGGCAGCATTGCTTAAGTACTTTGGTTTCATGTTTCATGGAGGAAAAAAAAATCAATTTTTCCTATTTTTCATAAAATATCTCAAGACTTTCAATTTCATCGCTAACCATCATCACTGTTGACGATCATCCATTCACCCGTTAATCACATGTCGATCACTCACTCGTCAATTGAGATGGATTTGTGTTTAGATTTAGAGATTTAAGTATTTTGGAGGATTGAAACTCCGGGTGACCCGAAAGATGGATGGGTAGGTGGCAACGGGTAGGTAGATGGTCAATGGGAAATGGGGATGACAAAGATAGGGGACAATCGGCGAGTGGGGTTGATGATTCGGGATCAAATATTTTAGGATTTTTTTTGAGATTTTAAAAATATTTTACATTTTTTAAATAATAATAATTTAAATTTTTTAAAAGATAAATTTTAAAAAAATTATAAACACATCATGTGTTGCATTTTGAATGGTTGATGATATTTTTTTAATAGTCTTTATAATATAATCACTTAAAATAATAACATTTATAAGATTAGACAATCACGTTAACGAAAAAAAATTAGCACTTAAATAAAAAATATATATAATTTGAATTTTTTTTGTATTAACATATTTTATAAAATGGCGGCTAGCTAGAGTCCCACTACACTAGACTGGAGGCGTTCCTACTGTGTCAGTTTCTCATCATGACGTGTGACCTTTCCATTGGTTCCAGTTTTGTTAATGTTGTGTGTACAATGTAAATAATAGTATTATATTTACAGATTCTCGCAACTAGGGATGGAATGGGACTAGAACCGGACGGGTTCGGATTCAATCTGATCCGATTGTGTTGTGTCTTTTAAAAAAAATGGATTAGGTCGGATTTTTTTAAAGATGATGTTCGGATTGGGTCGGATTTAGATTTAGGGTGAAAAATATTTGATCTAACTCGACCCAGAAAAATATAATTTTACCTTATATATTTATGAATAATTATAATAATATTCATCTATATATTATTTTTTTCAATTAAATCACTATTTTTATTGAATAAAAATATTATTTTATTATTCTTTCAGGTCGAGTTGGGTCGGGTTCAAATTTTTCTCTCAAAAAATAGAGTCGTGTAAAGGGTATATATTTTTAGATCGGGTTAAATAGGGGGAAAGATACAAAATTTTCGGATTTGGTCGGGACCTGACCCACTCATGCCCATCCCTACTTGCAACAATGGAAGTGTGCATGATTGGGGACATAAAAACAATTACAATTTGCTTTTTAGCATATTATATGTATTATTCTAATTGTATTTATTTGCTAAATATCAATTTTAATTATTATTTTCCCTCTTATGATGCTTTTTCCCCTAATTTTTTTTATATTTTTTCATAGTTGAAAATAACATCATTCTTGGACGTATCATCTTCGATTAATCTTATTCGCTGGTTTTTTATTTTTCCATTCATTCTCTTATATGTTGAGTTATGTTATTTTTTAAATTATTTTTTCTTTTTATAAAAAGTATGAACTATTTTATCTTATCTTATAACATGTCTTTTCATTTTAGGATTGAATTTGACGTCACGTCTCCACATCCAGATGACATTCTTCTGATTATCATGTTGATCTATTTTTATTTTGAACACTAATTATTATTGAGTTAATTGTAAATTAGTACATTTCAATAGGTTAAATATACAATAATTAATTATTGAGTTAATTGAAGTTGTATTAGGTCTAAACAATAAACAAATATATATATAATCAAAGCCAATTTATCATACTAACTTTTCTCCTCTTTTTTCTTCAAAATTAATTTATATTTATGCTTTCTAATTCACGAGCTTTAACTAGAAATGTATTCAAATTATCAATAAAATTTTAATTACATTTATGTAATATTTTTTAAAATTTAACTCAAACAAATATTCGATTAGATTATACTATATTATACTTAAAAATATTCAAAAAATTTGAATGATAAAATATGATTTGTTAACTTGACCAACTCAGATTTATCAATAATTTTACTCGACTAAATTAAATATTCACCCCTTAAATAATTAAATGATAAACATAAAATACTTTGGTTTAAGGGTCACTTTTAACTATGTAGTAGACTCAATTTATCATTTTCGCCCCTATCATATTTTTGCATCAATTTAGCCCTCGAAATTGTTTAATTGCATCATTCTATACTCTACCGCTAGCTTAAAACTCTAAATTGATAACCCTAAACCATAGCCCCATAGCCTCTAAACCCTAAGCCTTAATCTAACTTAAAACTCTCTTATGATTTTAAGTGAGAGTTATGGTATAAAATTATGCAATTGAACAACTTCGAGATTAAATTAATGTGAAAATACGACATAAATGAAAATAATAAATTGAGTCTACTATAGAGACAAAAGTTACTCTCTTGACAAATACTTGATAAATTTTTAGGTCAAATTGTATTAGTAGTTCCTATATTATGTATAGATTATGAATTTATTCCATGTACTTGGGAATTTTTAGAATTATAAATTTTATTTATAATTTAAATGATATATAAATAATATAATTAAATTTATGAATTTATACCAACTACATTAAAGAAAAATATATGTATAATTTACATATATATAATTTTGAAAAAAATATATTTACTGTAACTTGAAAAATATAAAAAAATGAAAAAAAATATAGAGAATCTAAATTTACATATAATAAAAACTAATAATGAAATTTAATCATACTGTCTAGAAATAAATAAACCTACTAAACCCCTATATATTGTAATATTGTAATGAATGGGTCCCATTGGTTAATATCACTTTTATGAAGGCATGTGATGTGGGTCCCATATGTTGGTGAAGTAGTTTTCATGCACAATAAAATAAAACAAATTCATCGGAGCCGGTTGATTGGTGACAACTCATCCACTCTACTCATTTCTTTACAACTGTGACCGTAGGGAATATAAAACTGCTTTACCTTACACTATTCTCTCGTCTCTGACATTCTTTCCTTATGGGCTTAGCTCCTAGGCTTATTATTATTTCTTCTCACATCACCAATATATAGGTAAGAGTTTAATAGAGTTGAATCGAATTAAATCAAAATAATTTGAGTTGAAGTAGTGGAATATAATAAATATTATTCAGGATGAACATATATATATATTTTGTATGAGATAGATATTAATAAAATTTTAAGGTGAATATAACCAATAAAATCAACAATAAATATAAAAAATTCAGATTTTAAGGTGGGTATGTGCACACTTTAAAGTATATATGCATTGTCATTGAGTTGAAGGGTCTTATTTAATAACGTAAACTTTATTTGAATTTTTTTTAGTTGAGTTTATAAAATTCAAGTTGAGTTGAGTAGAGTTGAATCGAATTGAATTGAATTATTCTAATTATGCTATATTTAATTATAAATATTTATAATTTTATGAT